CATATGCCCGATAATGGATGAATTTGCCACAACAAATGTTTTTTGGGTATATTGTATAGCAAGCACTTCGCGAGTTGGTATGCTTAAAAAAATCGGTAGTCAACAGAAATTTTTCGTTAGTTAAGGCAAATCCTTATTTTACGTTCTGCCATATTGCGGTACCTGAGCTGATGAACCAATATGATTGATCATGTGTTTTTTCCTTTAAGTATTTCTTTATCCTAATTTTCATTTGCCAGCGATCATTTATTAAATAATTTATTGTGTATTTTGCTTACCATTTCAATATCAATTGACAGACATGGGAATTGTTTGTTTGTCAATTTCACTACAATCACTTTAACGAAATGTGTTTTAAGCATGTTTAATGCGATTGCTAGCTGTTCTATAAAATAATAATAATATTGAGTTCAAGAATTGTGATATTATTTAAATTAATAATTTATTCATTTGATGTTACCTGGATAGAATGTTAGCCATATTTCGTCGAACTGTTCATCAACACCTTTCATATTGAACTGAGCAAAAAAATGTTCGTGACCAATTTCCGACCATGCAGTAGGATTCGCGTTCATTCCTATTCCAATATTGCTGATGCATAAGCTATCTTTTTTAATATTAAATACTGCCCTTTTCGATAGCCTTGCAAAAGTTGCAACAATGGCTTAAAAGACAATAAAAAATATTGAAATAAATATTAAAATATTAAATCATAATAATTGCGATAAAATTCATCATTGCAATTGAAATATGTATAACAAACAATAACTTACAATAGAAATCTTTCATACATAATTGATCCGTTAATATTCCCTTAAATTTCATGTTTGTTGTGTGGACACAAAATTAAATTTTAATAATAATGCCGGTATTCGTGACATTTGATCAGAATAGTTTCATCGTTGCATTCAAAAATGGCATAGATTATTTTTTGTGTAGACTAGATTTTCTTCATCAAAGCCGTTGTAGTTTTCAGCCATTTTTATTTTCAAAATAAAAGCAGGTGTGAATGTAATGAAATGATTTGTATACCATTATTTTTTAGAGTTGCTCATTGAAATAAAATTAGCGAAATATAAATCACTAGTGAAATTTTGAATATAAAAAATTCAAATCAACAAAAATAACTAATAATAATTAAGGCAAGTTAACAAGTTGCAAGTTTATTCTACTACTATTTTGTTGTTTTCCTTTAATGTTCTGAAGTTGGTAGTCAACGTATTTTGAATTTCAGTTCACAAGCATCATTTTCGCTCTTTGTGTGTGACTTCACAGTGTCAATTTCAAGAGAAGTATTGTTGTGTTTAACAAATTTAATTGAACAAAAGTTGAATTTTTGAAGTCTTACTCAACTTATAAGGATTGCACAAATATACCATGTAAAAAGTCTTTGGTCACTTGCAAGGAAAATTCTGCGACGCAAATAAAAAAAAATTGAGATATAATGGAAAGGTGAGTTGAAATACATAAATACATATACATATCGTTATAGTTTTTCTGCATTGAATTTTAAACCAATATGCTACTTAAAAAAAAATATTTATTAAGAAAAATTTCCTCTTTGACCAAAAATGTATAGAAATTATTGAAAATTGTTCAATAAACTGTAGAATTTTATATATAATAATTGAGCAGCTGCAACGTACTCGTACATACTAAACATATACATATACATATACTTATACATATACGTCCGTATACTCATCAAATAACATAAGAACGCACTAAAATAAATATGCTTGTTATATTTTAATATTTAACGTCTTCTTAAGTCACATTTTGTTGTTTTTTGACGTATGTGTCGACATTTTCAATTAAAATATAGATATCTTATGGAAGACGACGAATCAGCTGCTGAGGATGAACTATCCGAATTATCAGAAAATGATGATGATGGATTTGGAAAAACGAAATCAGCCAATAAAACTCGCTGGACAAAACACGAGGACGCTGCACTTAAAGCATTGGTTGAACAATATGGCGAACGATGGGATAGTATAGCCAAGTGTCTCAAAGATCGTTCTGACATACAATGTCAACAACGCTGGACAAAAGTTGTAAATCCAGAACTGATCAAAGGACCGTGGACAAAAGAAGAAGACGAAAAAGTTATTGAGTTAGTTGCTCGATATGGACCAAAAAAATGGACATTGATTGCGCGTCACCTACGAGGTAGAATTGGGAAACAGTGTCGTGAAAGATGGCATAACCATTTGAATCCAAATATTAAGAAAACAGCCTGGACAGAGGACGAAGATAAAATAATCTATCAAGCCCACAAACAATGGGGTAATCAATGGTTTTTCTATTATTTAATAATTCTTATTGATTCTTTTTCGTTCACGGAAGAGAGAGAGAGAGAGAGAGAGAGAGAGAGAGTGAGAGTGTGTGTGTGTCTCTGTGTGTGTCTACGTATGTGTGTGTGGATATGAGTGAATAAAAGATGATTGACACCCATTAGTAATGTAATGAAGAATTCAATGTAAGAATCTATATAATCTGTCTTGCAAATAACATATTAAAGAAACAAAAGCCACAATAACAAACAGATTACTGAAAAATTGAGATTTGGTAGTGGTAACAGTTCACTAACAAACTTGACAAACAAATGTTTTCGTTTTGTGATTCTCCCTAAGGTAATCAATGGGCCAAAATTGCGAAGCTTTTACCAGGCCGTACAGATAATGCAATAAAGAATCATTGGAATTCTACAATGCGTCGAAAATATGAGTTAGGTGGTTTGCCTCGTCGCAATAAAAATAATTCATTTAAGGTAATATCAATCAACAAACAACATATATTTCAAATTTTATTTAATATATTTATTCATTTATTTCATATTTCCATGGTTTTAATAGCAATTACAACAACATAGCTCACAAGCTATCCATTCGAATATAACACGAAAGGAAAATGATTGGAGTCTTTCTGATACCTCGAATCATTCACAAATCGCCATTTCAACCCAAAAAGGGGACTTTTTGGTTGAACAAATCAAAAATGGAGCTGGAGGAGAACAGTCGACATATTTCTTATCACCAATAAACAGTAATAAAGTTTTATCAACTCTTCGACGTGGCAGTGACACATCAGTTGACCTTATTGGTATGGTATACTTATTATTTTATTTAAATCTATTTCTAATAATGATTAATTTATCCATTTTAACATTTTCTTTAGATGAAAATGTTATTGGTTTAAGTCTACAAGAGATTTTGCCTGACAACAATAATATTAAAACTGAAAAAATGCTTGTCTCCAACCCACCGAATATTTTAAAGAGGTCCAAATCAATAAAAATGCAAAACGCTGTAAGTTATATATACATCATATAGAATAAAAATTTAGTTTTGTAAGTTATATAGTTTTGCACGTAATGAAAAATTATTATGATAAGTTAATAATAATAAGCATTCCCACCAATATCGTTATTAGGATCGGAACCTAATAACGTTATTATGATTTTATTAACTTATCATGATAAAATCATAATATTGTTATTAGGATTACATCCTAATACTTATTATGTTTTATCATAATAT